TTCAGTGTGCACTTAAGATTTATTAATTAGTCATTAACTATCAGTTAAAAATATGTGCTAAAGAAAAATGATAGAAAAATTAAATGACCACATAAGCCCTGATATAGTAAACATTAATCTTGAGCCTAACTATAAATATTTATAAGTAAATATTATTTATAGATCCATGGAAACAAAAACCGTGATGATTTAATAATTTTCAATAAACAATAAGTGTATTAACTAAATAGGTAACGAGTGTTTACTGTCGATAACCACAAGATGACGTTGGGATGACGCGCTTTGCATCATTTTGATTTCGGATTTAATATGTTATCTTCTGTTGGTTATAGAACATTACTTAGTTGCGTCATGTGCCTACCCACGTGTTTTTGACTACACTTCAGTGAACGAGATATAAATTTCATCACTTTGTTGTGACTATATCCATTTAAAAGTCAGCAATAAATTTTTTAAATTCATAATTAAACCTACGTGTCATTTTTAAATTAGTTGGGCAGCTTTCACATATAAACTAACACCTAAATATTATGTGAAAAACATTTTTGTGGAAAATAATGTGACACCTATTTTAACAAAGAATCGATTAAAAGTTTTCTTCTTTAGAAATTAGTTTAATTATTATTTATCGACTCTACATGCAGTATGATTGTTTAATTAGATCGCAATATAATGTGAAGAAATTATTGATTTATAGTGTAACTTAATTGGATAAGTTAGTAAAGTATAGGAATGTTGCAACTAACTTTAAAAGTATTAACAAAATGTTACTAAACCAGATCAATTAATAAATTTTACTAATTACTTAACTGTAAGACAGTCATCAGCTGAATCACATGAGGTGATTGTTGTGGAAAATCTAGGCTGAGTTGCACCACCTAATTTTGACGGTAACTTTAACGATAACCAGTGCTTTTTGTATGGAATTTGACAGTTTTTTGACGTCTGTCAAAGTTAAAGTATGGTATGGTGCAACCCAGCTTTAATGTTTCCTGATAATGTTTTAACGACGAGAATAATAATTATTCTAAAGACATTATAAAGATTTCTGAATGTTTTTCGAGGAAGTATGGGGCTACCCATACAAGGCGCAGCGACCGGCTTTGCTCACGAAGCACTACTTTACTGGTTCCAAACCAGTTGTTAAGCAATTTTTTGCTTCATTAGCTTGGGCACATGACTCGTTAAGATGATAAATACCCACAACGATTTCTCTCCCGACTCCGCAAGTCAGGCGGCGAGGCACCGTGGAAAATTCATAATATATTCATACAATCGTCGGTTGAAAGTGTGTAAAATGGGTCACAGAATTTATTTTGTTATCCTGTGTTCTTGTATTTAATGTTTAATCTTTTGTTTTCCGTACCTGCTTCTTGAAAGTATAAGCTGCTTTGATCTAAAAAGCTCCGAATATGTTGTGGATTGGAATCGGTCTCTTTAATGCCAAAGACATGGGGTCTATTGATGCTATAATTAAACCCCGGCGCTGTTCAACGCGAGGGGAACATAATCATACTCGAAATAGATAAAGCGTTACCCACTTTCCTATCTAACTCGATATAGTTAATAGAAGTAGGTACATTATGAGTTACATAATATGTTTGTTTTGTTTGATAAGTCCGTGTTATCGTCTAGTTCAGTACGGCAACATCAACTGCACAGGGTCGATTGATGTTAGCAACAGCCGCCAGACGATTACAAAGATAAAATTTTATTAGATATCTAATTATACTAAGCCTAATATTATTTTTAACTGCTGCTCAATATAAGTCTATAAAGTAATTTATTAAAGTGCTATTAATAACGAAGCATTAGGCATAACACGTCATGAATTCGTGCTATGTTTTTGAATGAGAGAGATCTCGACAAAAAATGCCCATCAATAGAATTAACAAGTGCCTACATACGGGAAAAAACTCCGCTTTAGATTTTTAAAGTCCGATTGACATTGACAAAATAAATCCGCTTTGAAGAAACATCAGTACCTACCTAAATTTAATTGAGGTAAAAAAATTAACATGAGTGAATACCTGTGTAACCTAATACCTACATAAACCCAAATATTTGGGTCAACGAAGTGCCAATTCGGCTTTCTTTCAGATAGTTTTCAGAATTCAAATGAGAGTTTTCGTGGCTGAAAAGAGTATCAGCCGCATACGCACGCGTATCGCGTATGAGCGATCGTGACTGCGCGGTGATTCACATTTTATTTGTTTTTATTTTTAAATATTGCAAGGCATTGGGCTGGCGAGTAATGCTATTGACCTCCTTTTTCTTCATTACGGCTTTTTCCTTTTATAAGATAGGTCACTTTTCAGCATGAACTCGAATGGTAGACCCAAGTTTAATGTCAATGAACTTTCTGTGTATGCTTTAAGGGTTTTGTAGTCTAATCTAAAAATAAACACCTAACACCGTATGAAAAACAATGGCGCTCATTCAACATACTTTATTACGAATGTCCTTTGTTTACTTTTAATAGTGTTTATAGCATTCACGGCAATACGGTTTTTATTTGTGTTGTAGCAAGTAGCTATTTCCTATTCAACATATGCAAATACATTGTTATAGTAGCCTCAATGATGTAAGAGTTGAAAAATAAAATGAAAATTCTAGACTAGAGAAGTAGCAAAATGAAATATCGCGCTTAAATGATTGTAGTGATCGCCATAGAAGGCTACATTAATGTGCAATGTGCATATCCCACATCAACAAGGGTATAGGTATAGGGCTGCCGGCTTCGTGCTACCGCTACCGCCCAAAGAAAAGCAAACTCGACCGAATTCAAGAGGGAACTACCTACTACCGAAGTAGTTATACATAATTAATGTACTATTACTAGGTCAGCCACTCTCTACCTGCGACTTGCCGAGCTTTTGCAGGTTATGATTTTTGTAAATTACTCAAATTATTAAATTAATGCACGTTGGACACTGGTGGTGTTTTTTGATAACCATCTCTGTGCTGCTATCAAAGCTGACTACTGTGCTAATTAAGCAACCGTCGGACTGGCTTTATTTATTAAATTCATCTGGTATTTAGCTGAAATGGACGGTACCATTCCGGTTCTCTGAATTTCTAGGTCGCAGTCAGCCCTACTTGAACAAAGGGATTGGCAGTTAGCTCACTTACAAACAATTGACTTGGAATAAAATTGTTGCACGCGATGCATAATGTTACCGGCTATATCGGCCAGAGGGCTTGCGTGGGGATTAACCATTACATTTAATTTTTACACCGACTGACATCACGATTTTTGTTTAGAAAACCAATTTTCATGAATGCCTAAAACATCAAATACTCGTATACGGGCTTCCTACGTTACATTATCGTTCATTATTTCACTTTATCGGTTATGTATGACATTTAATTAATATTATAGGTACATATTTACATCTGTATAAATAGATAATTAAGTATTATCTAACACTAGTTTTATCCCGCGGCCCGCTTCGTTTAGATATCAGCTGTAAGAATAAACTTTACTAGGTAGTTGGGGATTTTAAATTATTTTATTTTTAAACCTAACAGTAAATCCAACCCAAGCACATAGTTCAAAAATACTTTCCCTATTTAATAATTAAATTCTACCCGCATTAATACACTTAAATTTTTCTTTTGGTCACTTCGGGGTTGATTTCTGAAACCCGTATTTTGTTTATACATATGTTACTATGTTTATTTATAGTCATATTGGACAGTCGGTTGCGCAACTAAGCTGCGGCCCCTTGGGTCACTCGTATTGTTCTGAAGCGCTACCCGACCCGACAAATACCACGTTACTCACAAGTTATAGACTCGTTAAGACGCCCGTTAAATATTCCATAGTAACATCAGATGTTTCTTATGTATCAAGAAAGGACAGAGTTTGACAAACAAATGTTTACGCGTACGGTACTTAATTAACCTAAATACAGTTCAAAAATGACTGATGATAATATCTGACTCTCATTTTCATTTGAACTAAATTATTTTTATATATCAAGGCACATATTACACTCTTTTCAAATGTTTAAATTGAATAATCTACACTGAAATCTCATTCACAAAGGAAATTCTTTGTGTCGATTCTCTTTTGTTGTAGTTTTAAATATACCATGGCTATTATTGTTGAAATGATTATATCATACACAATAGTGTGATTAAATCAATAGTCCCGCGTAGCAAGTGATAACGCTTATCTACAAGTGACTGCACCACGCACTGCGGATGTTACAGCGAGTGCGAGGATGCTGGATATTGCCTATTATTTTCAATCACAAGTAATTCTTTAAGCGCAAGGGAAACTCGAATAAACGCTGCCACCAGTTTCCTCGACAATCACCTTATCTCCCGGGATCGGCGGTAATTACCATAAACCTATTTAAATAGACCCTAAAGAGATTGGAAAAATTTCTCCGGAGAATTACTTTTCACTCGGTGTATTTCGTTCTAAAAAGTTATTTCCTGTCGATGTTTATAACGAAATAATCGCATTTTTGTAATCTTAATAATTTGGGCAGATAACGTTATACATATATTATCATTGCATATTTTTAAACATAAACTTTATCTGATTTGATTTTATTACGATTAAACTTCTTTGCCACGATATAAAAGTTGTAAAACAAACTTACTTCTCTCAGTTACGTCGTTTAAACTATTAAAGTTTCGTAAATATTTGTCGTTAGTTTCACAAGTGCAACAAGGAAATTTTGAACAAGTTATGAATCTTGAAGGGCGTCCACATAGATTTCGCAAAGCATCGATGAAGATACAAGGCAGTGAGATCGCGAGCGTTTTGTTACCGGCGGCAAATATTTTGGCCGGTGCTGATGCAATTCGCGTTGCAACGGAGTGGTGGCAGGCGAGAGGCGCGTGCAGCCCCACACGTGCTGAGGCCGTGCTCTCGGGAGTTTCCACACCCGGCACGCCAGCCGACCCTGGCCACCCGCTCGCCGCCCGCCAGACCGTCCCAAATCCCCTCTAAATTTAATTTCTGGTTTGTTTGTTTACGGTACCTTGAGTTGTGTCCGTGGAAACGCGCGATGCAGTTCGCGCGCCGTGATATCGTGTGTTTGAGTTTGTGTTCGAAGCTTTCGCGATTCGATCGCTCCGGTCAGCGCTCTAGGGATTGACTGGTGGTCGCGCGAAGCGCCGATGAATATATGCGCGCGCATCTCCCCGCGCCTGCGCGGTGGTGGGAGCACGTTACGTCGTACGTCAACCGCCGGATTCATTCACAGGCACTTACTTCGTTTGGGAACCGGGGCGGCACCCTCCAGTGGGAACACCTTGTTAGCGACGCAGAGGATGACCCTCCTGCTTCAATTGCACTACCTCTATTAGGCACCTCCATCAATTGGCAAAACGAGCTACCTTGGCCTGTTTGTTACGCACAAATAACGCTGCTATAACTTTTGCAAAGTTTTGTTTAAAGTTTCATAATTATGCGCGCGAAACCTGCGATAAGTTATGAATGCAAGTTTAATTGCGTGACGTTACAAGCAGTTTCCCGCTGTCCGCAACGTTTAGGATCGTGTCGTAACGTTAATATTTATGAAAATACACTAATAATTGTAATTTTGAAAGTTCGGACATCTATATTTAGGTACATTATCCAAATCAAACTTTTAAACAGTTTTCAGTTCATTTCAGTAAAATTTCAGAATTTCCATGAATGAAATACCGTTAATATCTTTGAACCGATTTCGTATTATGAAATAAAGTCCTAAGTAATACCTATCTAAAATAATTATTTTTATTTATAAATAGCTAGTTCGTTTAAAACTTAGACAACATTATGAAACTTTGGCAACAGCCTGAACAATTTAAAAAGCAGGTAGGTAATAAAAGATATTACCTATTCTTACTTAATAATGTTCATTTCAATGACACTTAACTCGTTAATATTTAAAATTATATATTTTTAATCTATATATACCTATATAAAAGAAAGTCGTGTTAGTTACTCCACTTATAACTCAAGAGCGGCTGAACCGATTTAGCTGAAAATTGTCAGGGAGGTAGTTTAGAGCCAGGAGAAGGACATGTAACATAATTTTGAAAACACATGCTGAAGAATCTATTGAAGAATTAATTTGAATTATTTCTGACGAGAGACTACTTTAAAATGTAAAATATGCATTATACCTAGTTACATACAAAGTTTTACTTATTGTATTGTTTTGAATGCAACGATTTAGCGGTTACGTCAGTCAGTGAAAATGAAAATGAGAAATCGTGGAACTGAAGATTTTCCTGTCAGTGGCGTTTTCAGTGACTGTAGTTAAGGTTCGGACAAACCAACGCGATCACAGCGCGATCAACCGGCGTGCAGCGATGGCGATCAATGCATTTAGGTCTGGTCGCCATCGCTGCACGCCGGCTGATCGCGCTGTGATCGCGTTGGTTTGTCCGAACCCTTATTAATTTTATTTTTCTAATCATCTTGTCATTTCATTGTCCCTGCAGTCAAGTATTCTGCTGTGGATATTCATCATCATCATTATTTCAGCCATAGCACGCCTACTGCTGTGGATATTGTTGATTATAAATTAATTTTGGGCTAAATATTCGTTTGTCTAACAGTGGTATCGTACAATACAACTACGTTTACTGAACTTAGTTGGAGCGAATCCTTAAGTTTTTTAACTATCGACAGTAATACATTAGTGCTAACCCAAATTAAGTTTTTTATTTATGTATCTTAATAAAATATATCTTCTATGTTATAGTCTTCTATGTATAAATCCATATCGATACCTTCAGGTTCAATTGTCGTATAAACCAAAACCCTACTTTTCAGGAGAGCCAAAAAACGATTTTTTTTTTAAATAAAAAATTCGTAACTTTTTTATTTGAGAAGTTATAAAAAAATGTCCAAGAGAAAACATTTTTCAATTTTTGCAATGAAAAAGTCTAAATATTTAAAAAATGGGCATCTTCAGTAGTTTTAAAGTTAGCTTGGAGTTACGTCGTTGAGAAAGGCACTCGGTGGTTTATACGACCCATTATATTTGACCTAAAAATATCTTATATATCTAGTTATTATCTTTAAAAGTAGAAACAATCAACATTCTTTAACTTTATAAATAAGAAAAACTTACTTACCGTACATACATACATATGTGATGCAATAAATAAATGAATATGAATATGAAACAGATAATTACCATATTGAATACGTGGACTTACGACGTTGAATCTGGACATAAAACGCCATGTCTTTAGGCGTAAAAACCATTTTCAATTACGAGAGAGTTTTACGACCTGGCTTAAAAAAAGTATGGTTGATACATCTTAGCAAAAATACCAAAAACAAGCGTTCGGTTTTTACACTGTTTATAAGGTATTTATTTATCTTTTACGCTATAGTTTTTTGGGGCGAATAAACATTTTTTTAGCGAATTTCAATATTTCGAATATACAGCTCGATAGAGAAAAAAATTCTGATTAAAATGGTATATTAATATATGTTACGGTCAAAGTGATAAATGTGAAAATTATGAATAATCGCCGGTTATTATTAATAATTACCGCATGATTTGGTAAATGTGATTAATATGAGGTCATTTATGTGTGTATAAAACTAAATAGGCGGCTTAGGGGTGGCCCAAGGGCCACCCCCGCCGCACCTTAACCTATTTTTCACTTAAAATCAAAACATTATGTTATAGGCATCATGGAAAAGTAATATTATGCAAAAAACATTCCAAACTCATAAATTTGTTAGTACTAAGGTTGAATTATTAAATAATCACTGTTAAATGTGATTAATTTATCACTTTCACCGCGACTGTCGGGAATTATTCATAATAACCGGTTATTATTAATAATTATTTTCAATTTATCACATTAACCGTAACATAATAACTCGATTTGGCCAAAATGGTTTATACGACAATTGAACCTGAAGGTGTCGATATGTAGGTACATTTTACCTTTTCCTTACACACTAATAATGAAGATCTTTATTAATAGTGTGTAAGTAGGAAAAGGTAAAATGTAGGTACCTACCTACCTACATTATGGATTTATATGAATAAGCTTGAATTTATTAGAACAAGACATAATAAGTAAAAATAATAAATCGTAACATTAGTTAAACAAATTGGCAAATAAAATAATTCTAGACAAATTGGTTACATAATGATGATAGGCAAGTCTTTTAATAATTACTGTATTATGTCATAAAATGTGTTACTAATACACTTTTAACATTGAAATAAAACAAACAGAATGTATAAGTAGCTTACTTCAGTGTCTTCAGTTCTACATAATCATCATCATCATCATCATTTCAGCCTCAAGACGTCCACTGCTGAACATAGGCCTGCCCCAATGACTTCCACATCGCACGGTTGGTAGCGGCCTGTATCCAGCGCCTTCCTCCTACCTTTAACAGGTCACCGCGTCCATCTTGGACGTCCCGCGCTATGTTTTCCGATACGTGGCCTCCACTCCAGAACCTTGCTGCCCCATCGGCCGTCAGTTCTGCGTACTTTAGTTTCTGATTCGATTTCGTAAAAAACACCGAGCACGATTGTACAAAATATTTGTGTGCAATACTTATTGTCACTTGTAAGTTGTAGCTTGTTATTTATTTGCAAGATGAGCTATTTGAACTACAACAAAGTACACAACAGTACACATTCTAAGTTGTGTTAACAGAAGCATGTTGCATGTTGCCTTAGCCTGCCACATTCATACAAATACCTCTTTCATTATGATACCAAAATAATTTCCCCTGTGTCCTTGTCATATCGGTATACTCACACTCTCGACCGAGGTAGAGCATGTATTTTGAATTATTATTGCACGTCAATTAAGTTTGATGTGGGATTTGCTCGCTGTGGGAGCTTTTGGGTCAGTAATATGCTGTCACATCCGAAAAACTTTGATACAAGGGTCAAATTGGCAAAACAAACATACATTTAATATCGATCATTGTGTTACACTTAAAATCCGTTTTTAGTGAAAACTAGTTTTCACTATGCATTTGGAACTAGTTTTTTACTAGTGCATCAGTAAATACTAGTTTTCACTGAAAACGGGTTTTAACTGTAACAACTGTATCGGACTCGTTTTCCGTCTGTGGTTAAAAATAAAAATCCACTCTGAAGTTTTTTAATCAATAGCCAAATAGAGCTATATCCAGCGAGGAATTCAACTAGCTCTTTTAACTGACAGACGAGCTTTTATTTTCTTCAGCTAAGTTTTAGCTAGCTTTTAGTTTATTTTATGTTACCTACCTAGTCATAGCCATAATTATTTAGTGTCAGGAATTTTAATTGCCAAAAACAATGATTGAACTTCAATCGGTATCTGCACTGCCCCGAATACCTTCAATCTTTTTCCGGGAAATGAAAGCTGAACGATTTCAATTTCATTTTTCAGCGCTGCAAAATTAATAACAGAACTAGGTTTTCCTGTTATTAAAAAATAATTGAACCAATTTTTGTACAAAATAGAAAAACATTTATTTTGTAGTGAGCTCAATTTAATAGTTACGAGCTCATGTCTGTTACCAGTTAGAGATAACTGATGCTCAGTTTGCAAATCAATTTATAGCTAAGGGCGTAGACGTATGTATAACATACAGGGTGGAAACGTTAAGTGATCTCAGTCGATTATTTCTAAACTATACTAGAAAAACTGATTACTGATTCTGAAAGTGTTTCGTTTCCACCCAGTAGGTATATCCATTATTAAAATCTTTAACGTAACCTGTAAAACGAACGAGAAATTGTAAACTCGAATTATTACAATAGTTAAAACATTTATTCATGCCTCAAAGGGCATACTAAGTTACCTGCTCTACCGTAAGCTAGAGTTGGCGGGTAACTTTAGTCAAGTCGAGGTTTTTAACGCACTCTAAAAAGTTAATTGGAAGCGACAAGATATTAATCTATTCAATAAACCTGTACTTAGCTACGACATGAGTTATTTCGAGATATTTTTTGAGCCGGTCCAATGTACAGGCAACAGCACTTCAGACTGTGCAGTTTTGTTGCAAAATCGCCTATATTACAGCTACATAAGATGCCACAGTGTTAAGCTCGACGTGCCGTCGCGGCGTCGTCGGCGTCGTCTGTGCCTATCAGCATTGCATACAAAAATTCCAGTGTTACGTTTCATGCGTTGATTCACTTTATCAGT